ACTCGGGAGGAGGCGGTGTTTTAGGACGGGAGGAGCAAGAACTCGGTCCTGAACGTGTGGGAAGGCCCCGAAGCCTGCGTGGGGTGGAGAGGGGGAAGGCAGGCAGCCTCAAGAGGCGGCTGGGGAGTGAGGGTGGCAGTGAGTAATTTTGCTAGGTGTCTAGGCTCGTGTCATGGTGGTACATTGTGGTCTGAATTTTTTAGGGAAGTCTTAATATTTAATCTCAAATTAAGCTTTAATGATACTTTAATGAAGATTTTAGTATGACTGAATGTACTAAAGCTGATAGAATATTGGAAACAGAATCACAGAACGGCTGAGATTGGAAGGGACCTCTGGAGGTCACCTTGTCCAACCCCCTGTTCAAGTAGGGTCACCAAGAGCCAGTTGCCCAGGACCATGTTCAGGCGCCTTCTGAATATCTCCAAGGATGGAGACTCCACAACCTCCCTGGGCAATCTGTGCCAGTGCTCAATCACCCTCACATTAAAAAAGTAGAAAAAAAAACCCTAAGAAAAACCTAAAAAAATAACCCTTCAGTTACACTGAAAATCAGCTAAGTGATTGAGGGTTTAAATTTCCCTTTTAGGCACAGTCTTGTGTTCCTATTGTACAGAGCTGAATGGTGAATATATGTGTCTATAGATGCAGATTACCGCCTGTGCCCGGCAGTTGTGTATCACAGAACGGCTGAGATTGGAAGGGACCTCTGGAGGTCACCTTGTCCAACCCCCTGTTCAAGTAGGGTCACCAAGAGCCAGTTGCCCAGGACCATGTTCAGGCGCCTTCTGAATATCTCCAAGGATGGAGACTCCACAACCTCCCTGGGGGCAATCTGTCAGTGCTCAATCACCCTCACATTAAAAAAGTAGAAAAAAAAACCCTAAGAAAAACCTAAAAAAATAACCCTTCAGTTACACTGAAAATCAGCTAAGTGATTGAGGGTTTAAATTTCCCTTTTAGGCACAGTCTTGTGTTCCTATTGTACAGAGCTGAATGGTGAATATATGTGTCTATAGATGCAGATTACCGCCTGTGCCCGGCAGTTGTGATCACCAGGGTAACTCAACAGGAAAAACTTCACACTGCTGTCTTCTGACCTTTCCCTACTATCTGTATGTACACATGAAGTAAGACCGCCTGGTTTTACAAAAGAAGAGCGTGTGTACATGTTTGCCTTTTTTCCTGTCCTGTGTTTTTTCTTAGGCAGAGCTTGGCAGTGTTCACAGAGCCTGTGGGTACAAATGGCTGCATGGAAAATCTGCCTTTCTGGCGACTGCATCTTTAAATTTCAGTATCTAAAATGACATATGTCGGAGAGGTAGGGGGTCACCTATACATGGAAGTATCTTGCTCTGATTCTGAAGCCTCCACGGGGGCAGTGACTTCACCACAAGAACAGGCTCTCTATATTTAATACTTTACACTCAAATACTAAAGCTTATCTTCAGCAGGACTGCAGGGAGAGCTAGGTGGGGAAAGAAGGCTGTAGGTTTGGTGCAGTAGCATTCTAGAGCAACTTTCATGATTCAGCGCAGAGGAAAGGGCTTCACCTAGGCCTCAAGTTAAACTGAGGTAGCGGATGGGCCTTCCCTTGGGAATCCTGCTCCTCGCACAGGCCCCTGATTGCTGATCCTGAATCAATTCCCGTTTATCTAACAGGGAAGGTAATAATAACTTCCAAACTAATTTTCATAGAGGTGCTGAAACACCTGAAGTTTAAACTCTGCTGTAAACAGTTACCAGAAACTGAACATATCAGACTAGTTTGTGCACGTTTTATTCCGGTAAACTTCCTTTGTGGTGTTTTGGTCCATTTAATAAAAAAATTACAAAACTTCAAAAGGAAAACAATGAGCAAGTTTAAATTTTTTTTGCCTGATATGTGCTTACGCCATACAATCATTTATGTAAGGAAAAAAAACAGTAAGCATGGTACTTTTCAAATCATTTTTATTAACAACAATATGGATTCAACTTTGTCAAGAAGTTACAATTAACGTTGTAATGTACTGGCTAATGTCATTGCAGTGTCAGTGGAAGCAGCCTTCGTGCTTTCTAAGCCTGTTATGAAACTGGCTTTTTAGCTTTCAAAGAAGTAAAAAATGCTTCCAATAGCAGATGATACTGGATATGTCTGGAATTGTCCTGTGTGTGGCCATGGCCACATTTGCATCCAGATGAATGAACAGGAAAATATTGCATGCTTCCACTGACGCTGCAGGGGACAATTCTTATTTCAAAAACCAATTAACCTTTTTAGACAGTGACAGCACTTTGTGTGATGTTGTAATCCATTTGAATTAAGTAGATTAACACACTTGAAAAAAAATGTGAAGCAGAAATATCTGGGGCAAATTCTTTTCTGACCTGTATTTCATTCAAACCTAATGAATCCAAAAGGATTGCATGACATATGAGTCAGGATAAAAGTTGGCCCAGAGAGGCAAGTTCATTCCTGGTATAGGTGGGTTCAGTTCCTTTAAGGTCAGTGGAACTGAGCCTGATTATCCCAATGGAGGCTGAACTTCACCCAGTTGGGCAGTGAATTCATTGAAGTCAGTGAAGCCATCCAAGGATGAATTTAGCCTCAGGTGTTTAAACCCTTTTTTCGTTCCTTTGCTGTTACATTTTCTTTTCCTGCTTACTCCTCTTTTCTGATTATTCTCCTTTTCTCTGTGCTTTTTAAAAATGTCCCTTCTCTTCTTCCCTTTTTACATCAATACTTTGTGCGTTATTTTTTATATAGTCAATGTGACATGGGTAAATTCAGCTAAGTATTAGTTTCCTCAGGAAATAACTGGAATATTACCATTTTCACTTTAAACAGATGCCCGACAAAATAAGGATTTGAATCTGAGCTCCCGATTCAAGAAAAATTCTTGAATTCCATGGAATGAATGAATTCCATAGAATTTTTGCTTGAGTAAGGATTGCAGGTCCCAATCCAGAAATACTACTGTACATCAGATGTTCTACCATACATCAGCAATTCAGTATGATTTGACTTACCACAGAAGAGCAGGTGAATTACTCATCACCATACTATAATGAGAGCAGTCACTCTAAGTAGGATTATCTCAAAAACATATGGAACAACCGTGGGCACTGTGAATAAAAGTGTATGATCTTTGCAATCTCGAACCCTAGGCTAAAACACTATATTCATATTTAAATAAAAAGTATAGATCATATAAGCCAGGAGCAAATACAAATTTTTAAACAAATAATCATCAAAACTATTCTTTTCAGTTCTCTCTTCAATCAGGTACAAGAAACATGCTGATCAGAAAACAGTTATTTGGATAAGGCTTAATTCCTGATGCTCTTGCTTAAGTTCAAATTCTCTCTTCAACAATCCTCAAGTGGATTGCAAATCAGAAAAAAAAAATGTCCTTTGTCCCTATTCATGAACAATCCTTATTAGCTATCATGAGCTGGACTTTAATAAGCAGCTCAGGACAAGACTTGAAAAGCCAGGCAGCTCCTTCTTTTGTGAAACCAATGAATGACTGTCAGTCACGACACTGTCTTTTAAAGAGAGAGCGTAGAAACAGGAAATTCCTCATGAGGAAATATGAGCAAAGCTTATAAAAATCCAAACAAACAATTCTTCCTCTCCAGAATTTCATATATTCACTACTCTTTCTATTTTCTATCAATATTATGTTAAAAAATTCCTATACGATAAGACTTGCAGCTACAAAAATAATAATGGTGAGCATAAAAGAAAAAAATTAGGATTTTAAACCTTAATTTGAAAAGATACGACCTTCTGGATTTATTAGTACTTTGTAAAGACATTAACATTTTCATACATAATTTATAGAACTCATTCTTTTGTGCACAAAACTGTATTAAATAAATTAACTTAAAATTAGAAGGACTCAAGCATGTCATTTAAGGCAAAAATACCAAGTTTCCGTGAGATCAATTATCAGCAAAACCCAAGGCCCTGTTTCTGTACAGAGTCTGTTCAGGCAGGGCCGGCCAATGCTCAGTTCTCCCACTGACGCCTTCCGGGCTCAATGGGGGTGCAACCGTCTGCTCATGCAGATGAAGGTGGAAGAGTGGAGTCCAATTCACGATGCCTTGATTTTTCGATCTCGTCAAGGAGGGGAAGGGAGTTTCATGACTGGCACACAGTTGCCATGTGCCCTGTCTCTTCCTCCTTAACTGAACCTAAGCGCAGGTTTATGCTTAGGCCAGCAGGAGGCTTCGTATGAAAGGCAAGAAAGGCACCATAAACCATTAAGAAAAAGAAAGAAAAGCATGAAAAAAACTTGTAAGTTTTTAAATTTTGGATAGGACTTTAAACTTACAGATCTGCCTGGATAAACTGCAGGCATTCAAATAAGTTAATAGTTAAATGAACTGAGATGTGGAAAAAACTCTATTTATCCTCACAAAATTACTGTTGTAATCAGGCTTTAGTATGATCAGGCTGCACATAAAAGAAAACAGGAAAGACTGAATGTGGTAAATTGTATGGAAAATCAGTGGTGAGGAAATTGTGCTTCAAGGTGTCTTTCAGGATTTAACAGCTGAAGTTTGCCCCGGCGTAAGCCATGGAACACAGTGTACCATCCCTGGACCCCGTGTAACGACACAATATATACACTCTACAGTTTGCATGTACTTTCACATAATAAGGTTATCATGTAACATCCAGGAATACTTCTGTAAAGGAAATATGGAAGCAGAAATTACAATGGTTTCATAGTAAACAGATCGTCCTTCACAATACAATCTACAGCATTTAGCCATGGTTAAGACTGGAGTGACATTTTTGATGTACATAGTAAGTTCCCAGCAGGTCTGGGCCTTGAGAAAACACTGCCCTGAGTGAGCTGGCACTGGCACCCCCGTACATTCGGTGTTCCTGCTGCTAGAGGGAAGCTGAGCCCAAGTCAGGTTGTCTACAAGCCTGTGGTGCAGGTGGGGTATAAATCTGGGGGGAGGCAGCGCATGGAAACCTCATTCAGCTGGGAAGAGCGAAAGCCTGTTTAGGCTCCGCAAGGGTTCTTCCAGTGGCGAAGCCTCGCTGGGGATGTGCAGATAGGCACTAACACCGCTCCTGCATCTCAGCAGAAGTGAAGTGTAGGTTAGGATAAGAAAAAAAGAGGATGTATCAAGCAGGAATGCTCGGTCTGATGTAGGCTTTGAATCTGAAAACTTGGGTATTGGGAGGAAGGAGTCTGAAGGTCCTTTCTTGGAAAGTTCACAAGAAACGACTGCAGTTGGGACACAGTGTTGAGCTATAAGAGTGTGACCGCTTTCCCCCCTCTCCTCCTCCCCTTTTATTTAAAAAGCAAGCGAACAAAAACAAACAAACAAACCTCTTGCCTTCAGGCTTTTTTTCTGTTAAGGTGGTCTTCCCTACTTCTATTTCCATTTCCAATTGCCTACATGGCTTTCTTTTTGGAAATAGTGCTCAGTATTTGTGACTGACAGGCTGGATTTAAAAAAAAAATCTTTTTGCCTCTTTACCTTCCTTCTTTTATTTTCTGGGATCATTTCCCTTCCTGCCCGTCTAAATCCATATTCTTTTTTTTCTTCATTGATTGTGTTGTTTTTCTGTCTTCCCTGTTCTATCCTCTTTAGTTTTACCCTGTATTTCAGTTCCTCATTTTCCCTCCTTTCCCAGCCTTGTGAAGTGCTGTCGTGGTATCAGGTTGGGACTGCAAGGAAAATTGCCAAAATTTCCACAGAAGGAAATACTGCTTCTACAATAAAGGCAGCCCCTGCTTCCTTCCCTCACCTACTGCTGCCAAAATGTTTCAGATTCACAAGGTAGCTCCTCAATGAGACTGGAAGGAGAGATTCCCCTGAATTTTTAGCGCAGTCACCCAGATTATCCGCTTCTGAGGCCAGCCCCGATCCTTAAGATGCAAACTTTTTGTAGCAAAATAATGTTCTCATTATAAAGAACAATGTGATAGTGGTGTGTCAGGTACTTTTGCCACAGCACTAAATCACCAAAAATCAGATGGATATTAATGTACTGTTTTTCAGAGTTAAAAATAACTGATTACTGATGAGCTAATGTGTGTATCTTGCAACTGGCAGCCATTTCTAACCCCATATTACTGATTTCCTTGGTACCTTGCTAGCAGCTGTAGATAATTTTTTTTTGTAAACATAAACTATCATCTAAATCAGGACATTATATATATATATTTAATTAGTTCAGAAGCAAAGTGCTTTAAACCTTACGATTTTTACTTCTGCCCTGTAGAAACGGCACTAGGTCTAAATGCTCAGATTTTTGCTTTTTGATATATCCTGCAGCATTAGCTTTGTAGGCAACTCATCATTTAAACCTACTGCAATACATAAAGGCTGCCGTACTGTAGGTGTAAATTTGAATGTTAGCCATCACTTAAACATGCATTTTCATGCAACTAGGAGATATGGGCTCATTCAACTGCTTCTCAGATTCATCCTGATTTTTGTGATTTTATCTTATTAAAAAGGCTTTCAAAACAGTTCATGCTATGATATGTATGACTAGAGGAATGACCCAGCCAATGAAGAAAGCCCACAAGCTGTTATTTAAGTTTGACGTGGAGCAGACTGAGTGCTTCTGTACCGTCCCCGGGCTTGCAAATGCTTTGAGATGATCTTGATATTCCAGTCCTTAGAGAGTCAGCAGAGAGAGTTGTTTCCACTAACGGGTGCGAGATGGCTTCAGTAGTCTCTGTTCCTGCTTCTGTCTCCAACTCTTCATCAGTTATAAATAATTTTGACTCCCTCCATTTGGAGTATACATCTTGGCTACCTCTGGAACCACTGGAGTCACTGCCAGCAATCTGTACATTCAGTTCTTCTGTTGATTGTATAAGGTTTTGTGCAGATAAAGATTTTCCTAAATCCATTTGCACCACGGGTTTAACTGAGAGCAAAGGTTCCCCTTCTGTATCCAGACTTTTTCTCCATGCGAGATCCTTCGTCGCACTGGGCTGTGCAACTTGTCCATTATCTTTTGATGCAACAAGGCAAGCGGTGACATCGGAAATATTTTCCTGTGTGGTTACAGGAATAATATGAACGGGCTCAGGCCTATTGATATGCTTCATTGATGAGAAAGGTGGTATTTGTAATGTTGTTGGAGTTGCTGGCTTAGTTGCCTGGTTTATTTGGTTTGATGTATTATTAACTGTTGCAGGTCCATCGTTTGGCACTTGCGTTGCTTGACTATGCATAGCTGGACTAAAAGCATAGTAAGCCTGAGTGCTAAATTCATTTGGTGTCAGTATAAGTTGTAGGCCACGAGGCAGATTGGCACTAGCTGATCTGGATACACTTCCACTAATTTGTGCAGAACTAGACAAATCTTTGCTGTCTGATGGACTCTGGTAATCAGAAGTCTGCTCACACTCAAAAGCTGGCATTTGAAAGGAAGCCAAAGTGAGCGCGGATGCAGATCCTTTTCGCAAAACTTGTTGATAAATATCTAATAGACAGTCCAGTTTTGACTCAATGGATTGTACCTACAGGAGGAGAGGAAAAGGTTAATGATAATGCCAAATACTAATTTAAAATATTTGGAACCCAAGCAAAGGGAAAATGTGACTGCTGAAGAGAAAAATGGGAGGAGCTTGGTATATGCTATCGACTCTTGAAAAATAAGGTTGTCAAAAGCCATGTAGATTTTTCATAAGCAAGCTGATAAAAGGGAAAAAAAGTCAGTAACCTGCGATTTTTCCTTCCTTCCTTTTCTTTACATGGAAGACAGTTAAGCTAATACGATTCCTATCAATTTTATTTCAACATGCAAATGAAGCAGATATTAGCAAAAAAAATATTTTACCTGTTCAGCCTTTGAAACTGGCAATAAAATACACAAAAGGCATGAGCAATAGAGCAAGACAAAGCGACACAGATAATCACTCTACCTGTTTCTCCACCTTGACTACACGCCCTAACATACTGAGGTCATCAGTTGTCTCATTCTCTGCAGGATTCTTTTCTCTACTTCTTTTATCTGCCGTGATTTGTCCTTTCCCAAGAATTTGGTCAACGCTGCAAGAGAAATCAAAAGCTGCTGTGATTCCTGAAAATGGTGATGATATGCAAGTGCTTGCTAATCTGTACATTAAAAATTAAGATCATAGGACTTCAGAAAAGCACCCGACAAAGTTGTTAACCTAATTTTATTAAAAAATTAAGAAAAAAACATGAATGCTTTTTGAGCATTTGGAGATCAGCTCAGAGACTGCTTTTCTTTTCCGTTGGCACTAAACGGGGGCCAGAACTTAGCCATCATCTGGGAGAGCCGGGGCTAGGCTTGCTGAGAGGGCAGAGGAGGCGGCCTTTCCAGCAGCCTGACGTTGGGGAGTAACAGACGTACCAGTGCCACCCTCAGCTCTCCCGTCCTAACAGCAGCATCCAGTCCTGGGAAAGCTGTCAGTTTGAAGCAGGAATCTCTGCCCTGATGCTGGTAATGATACACATGATGCAATGTTGTTGGTTTTTTTTAATTAACGTTATTATTGCTGGGAATTTAGAACATAAAAACTACATAAATACTACATTACCAGTAGTTCCCAATTTCTTTTATGTGAAAAGAGAAAGTCTGGGATGGGAGAAAAGCAATTCTCAATGTCGACCTCATCCTTTTGGCAACTTCATGATTGAATTCCTTGTTTATGAATGAACTTTACAGATAAAGGACTACGTTTTCTACTGTTCAGATTTCCATTTTCTGGGGACAATTTACATACATGTTTTTTTGTTTGTTTTTACCCACAATGTAATTTCTGGCTCAGATGTGTTCACAGAAAGAGAGGCTGGGCTGAAGCATGGATGGCAATTTGTACCCAAATATAACACAGGAATATTAAACGTTACCAATATTCATTATGCAGTGAATGACATGACATAAGATGCTTATGCAGAGCAGAAATTATTCTTTCCTTACCGTGACTGAAGACTCTTAATCCTGCATAACATGTCTAGATGACCTGCTGAATACTGTTCAATGACATCTTTGACATCATATGGACGAAGTGTTTCCTTAAACTTTCTCTTTGCAACATGAAATTTCATAATTCTGTGGGGAAAAAGCATTTCACAGATTAATCTTCAACAGTTGTGAAACAATACAATATATTCCACTGACAAAATTTGACAGCTAATTTTTAAATGGAAAATATTTTCAATACAGCTTTTCCCTTTACAAAATTGTTTTTATAAGTACAAATGTGTAAGTACAAATGCATTGTAGCTATCCATTTGAACTGTTATTTAAGAGAGATCAGGTAACACTATTTTAAAGAGTGCAGAGCACATTTAATTTATCAGTATACACCTATTTGGCTTTTTTATACTAGGTGCCTGATATGAAAGGTACTGAAGTACATGCTTAACTTAAACCTGGGATTAGTCCCACTGACTTGAGTGAGATAACCTGTAAGCTACGTTTGTGCTTAAGCTACTTCTGTCCTTGTTAGAGGGAAGATTCCTCTAACAAATTGGTTACAGAAACATAAATAATAGTATTCTTTTTCTGGTGCTCATTTTAAGTTCTTTCCTTTCCATTTCGTAAAAACTTTAAATTTATGCACCCAATTAATTTTTCATCAATTTTAATTTTTAATTAACATTCAGGCTTAAGTATTTGTTTTTAATTTATTTTGCTGACTTAAGATCAAACTTTGTAGGCTAAAGAGAAGTTTTCATGTTTGTTCCATATTGAAATCTATGGGAATTATTGTTTAATTAGCATTGGTGACTTTTTTCCTTGAATTTTACTGCAGAATAGTAAGTATCAGATAACAGTAAATATGCAAAATTGATGAATGGCATATGTTTTTTATGTGAGACTTGCACAAGTTTCTGTGACGCTTATGTGAATATGTGATGTCCGCTGAGTAGGTCTTCTTAGAATGAAAAGCTTGATGTTAAATTGCAGATTTTAAATAATAGAAATGACAAATTTGGAAAGTAAATGACAGTGAGCCGATTTTCCACGTCAGCTGGTAAAACCTGCAGTTCTCCTTGGTCTACATGAGAACTGCGGAAGAGAGAACCACGGGAGAGCTGGGAGAGAAGCCAAGGGATCGGGTGTGTTGGCCATGCTGGTCTGTGTTACAGAGCTTATAAATCCCGGTTAGGGCCAAACTACTGATATTTGCTATCTATTGCAATTAAAAAAGCAGAGACAGTAAATTGGTATCCTATTCCAAATCCCAGTATTTCATGCTAATATATTCCCTCCGTATGCATTTAGCAGCTGTACGACAATGAACAATAATAAAAACCAAAACATGGCTCTCACTCTGTGATAAAAATAGATTAGTGGTGTTTTAGTGGAATTTAGGAAAACCATACTTTTTATAGTTAGGACAGACATTATGATAATAGGTATGTAGAGTCAGATTAATTATATATAGTGATCCTCTACTGTTTTCTGTATTATACATAAATGTTCTTCCAAATAATATCAGCCTTTTCCCTCAGTGCTTATGTTGTTGGTATTTCCCATTCTGGTAACTTTCAGTTAAAAATGAGATTGCTTGTCACTGGTATAGAGCTTGAAGAATCATAGAGTCATAGAGTCATGGAATGGTTTGGGTTGGAAGGGACCTTAGAGATCATCTAGTTCCACCCCGCCTGCCATGGGCAGGGACACCTTACACTAGACCAGGTTGCTCAAAGCCCCGTCCAACCTGGCCTTGAACACTTCCAGGGATGGGGCATCCACAACTTCTCTGGGCAACCTGTTCCAGTGCCTCACCACCCTCATAGTGAAGAATTTCTTCAGTTTAAAGCCATTACCCCTTGTCCTATCACTACATGCCCTTGTAAAAAGTCCCTCTCCAGCTTTCTTGTAGGCCCCCTTCAGGTACTGGAAGGCTGCTATAAGGTCTCCCCGGAGCCTTCTCTTCTCCAGGCTGAACAACCCCAGCTCTCTCAGCCTTCTTCATAGGAGAGGTGCTCCAGTCCTCTGATCATTCTCATGGCCCTCCTCTGGACCCACTCCAACAGGTCCATGTCTTTCTTATGTTGGGGGCCCCAGAGCTTGAACGCAGTACTCCAGGTGGGGTCTCACCAGAGCAGAGTAGAGGGGGAGAATCACCTCCCTCAACCTGCTGGTCAC